GACTCCTGTTTAAATACATTTTTGGCGTCTGACTACTTAGACACTCCGATCTAAACACTAAATACATTTTTGGTGTCTGACTACTTGAACACTCCGATCTAAACACTAATTACATTTTTGGCGTCTGACTACTTGAACACTCCGATCTAAATACTAAATACATTTTTGGCGTCTGACTACTTGAACACTCCGATCTCCAGCACATTGACCATTTCGGTCCAGTGCCCGCACCAATAGCGCTTCTGCCTTTTAGCAGAGGTTCATGACTCACCAAAGCTCCACCAAGAGACGTGCGTGTAGCGCTCAAGGTCTTCGACCTCCAATCGATCCATAGCTCATGGTGTTCCAACCATGCTATACCAAAAATGCGGTCATACCTTTAATCCAAGTCAAACACCAGACAGTGTTCCACGCTATCAAAGTCAAGAAACTTGACACCGAGGCACACAGGACCCACGGCACCAATACAAAAGTCCCCATCGCTAAGCGAACAGTGACGGTGTCACTCAATCGCGCTTTCAGCGTCTCAGCTGCCTTCCTTCCATCATGGAGCGTTGAACATAATTACCCCACGCCTCGAAGTCGATAAGGATATTCAGTGGCTTCTCGAAGCACTTAACGGTCTCTACCACTACCATCACCCCCTGCTTCCATACACGTTCCGTGTTCAAGATCACGGATCTCTTCGGAGCTGCGCCCTGCTGCCCTCTACTTCTTGGGCTTTGTCTTTTTTTTGCGACAAACCAGACTGGTGAGAAACGGAACATCGGTTCGATGAACCATGACATGCCATGCGCAGGGAATAACCCGTCCGAGGTTGACGGGTTTCTCCACAGACAAAATACCGTCGGATGTTTATACGCTGCTCAGCAGCTCGAACCTCTACTTCTTCTCTCTCAACATAGTTGAGATTCATCGGCTCAGGCCCGTTTGATGAGTGCATTCCAACCAAGATGTGTTGACTTGAAGTTGAAAACGGCATTCAATGCCATATTCACCGCTTCTCCAAAATAAAACGGATGCACACGGAAGACTTTCATTCTGGCCACGCCAGTGCGGAGGCCCTCTATAAAGACGGTCACTGTGATCGCCTCGGGGACAGGATGGGCTGCCAACCTGGCAATGAGCTTACGCAACTCTTGAACACAGTCCACCAATTCTTCCTTGCCCTGTCGGGCGGCAAGGAAACGCAACCGCACGCGGTATGCCTGGTTAGGCGGCTCGAACACTCGTAAAAGCTGCAGGTTCAGCTCCTTCCAGGAGGAAAACGTCGCTTTGACCGAAGTGCCGCACGTCACTGCCCATTCTCGCGCTCGACACCGAGCTTGGAGATGACTAGCGCCACGCGTTCTGGAGCATGGCGGATGACATAACTATTTCGGCCTCTCACTCCCAGAGCAGAAGATTCGCTCTATCCTTACCCTCGAGTTTTTTACGCTCACCATGAGCGGCCTGGGTCGGAAGGAGTCATTCATCGTCGACGGTGGCATCTTCTGCTCTAGGTACTCTAACAGAGCATTTTCATCGCTTGAAAAAGCCTCTAGGCGTGCGCTAATCGCTTCACGTCTTTGTGAGGCAAGGTGTTGTACGCCCTCAGGGCCAAGCATGGACATCAGCTTTTTAAGCCTGTCCTGAATATCCTGGGGCAAATAGGAGAACTGCTACATCCTCACAGAAGATCAGTCGTAACGAGATAGCTTTCCTACTCAGGCGCCCCACAAAGACCACAATACAACTTTTTTAAAGCGTTTCTTGAAAGCCCAAAAATAAAGTCCCTACTCATGGGCTGCAAAATTTTTGCCAGAATCCGTACATTGTGAAAGGGTGCTGACGCAGTAGCGAGGGCTTACCGCGTTTGCACGTTTCAACTCTGCATACATCAGTGCTTACTATTTATACATGTTTGATTGCTTGAGGATTCCAACTATCTCTCTGTTCTGCCAATATGGCCTACCACGAGGTATTGTGTATCTCATCGTAGTCTGTACTATATGTCCTCATCATGAGGTTTCATCAAACACTTCGTATCAATTAAGCTAGTGTTGTGAATTATTAAGCTTCGTCACATGAGTACAGATATAAACGTTTTTCAAAACTCTTGGATGCAGATATAAAACTCAATCCTAGAAACACTTCGCCTTCCAAAGCTTTCAGACATCGTACATCGTCGTCAATACACGACGTCACCATTGTGACATGCAAAATTTAGACTTATATTATGCATTCATCCGCCACCATATTTTGTCGATCAGGATTATATTTTACCTCAAAGTATACTTGGCAACATGGATAATTATTTTATCATTCGCCGCAAAGGATGTGGAGACAATGTTGCTGTCCCTTGCGGCGTAAAAGCTGTGCTCTGCATTGAATTTGATACCCACAATAGGTATGGTGGACACAAAAATCTAGGTGCATCCCGCACCTTCGGCGCTCCTACATGAAAATGGTAGTCGTTATCGCCTCTAAAGGGTCTTCGCCATTCTGGCGATGAGAAATCTCATCATCTGAACATAGTCTACCAGCTCTTGCTTTCTGGACCGGTAGACAAGAGCGCCGAATGTGGCGCTAACACCCGGAACATAACTACCCAGTCCACGACAAGGAAGTACTTGCGATAAAGTATGCACTTGCCAACTTTAGGGTGTACTTGCTCGGCTCAAAGCTGTTTGTGATCGTGATCTACACAGATCTTGCGTCACTATACACTGCAACTCAGTGGCCTCACCTCTTACAGATGATAGCCAGGTGGTTCTCCTTCTTCGCAGAATATAACTTCGAAGTGAAGTATATGCCAAGAAAGCAGAATGCTTTGGCTGACGCGTTGTTGCGTAGACCGGATTATGAGCTTGATTATGTCACGACGTTGACGTCGTCAATGACAGATCCTATCCGCGCCGCAAACGCGGATGATATTATGTGCGTGGCGCTGCTACGGGCTCTTGGGAGCAAGGAATTTGAAAACTCGGACAAGAAGTTGTCGTCGCGACTGCGTGCACAGTTGCACCGATGATTTAAATACCGGGCTGCTGTATTATAGCAACGACTCGACGGATACGCACGATACGTGGCATCTCACGATGGAGATTTGACGACCATATTCTCTATGAGGCTCACGACACCCCCCTCAGTGGTCATCTCGGTCGTGAAAAGACATATAGCTCTGTGAGTTCCCACTACTGGTGGTCCAAGCTGTACAAATGGACGAGCACATATGTGCGCACGTGTGAGACGTGTCATAGGGTGAAACCCTCTCCGAATGCGGTGGCGCCGCTGGTCAGTTTACAGGTACCCTTCGGGAGTAGGCAGTCCATGAGTATGGACTTTGTGTTTTGCCTGGTGAAGGACTCGGCGGGCAACACAGGTGTGGTGGTCTTTGTCGACCGTTTGAGCAAGATTGCTCATCCTGCGGCGGTGCAGGACACCATCGATGGTGTTGATTTAGCGACGCTGTATGTGAAACGTGTATTTCGACAACATCGACTCCCGGAGTCAATTGTCTCTGACAGAGACCCAGGCTTCACTGGAATGTTTTGGTCGACAATCTTCAGGGTTCTGGGCGCCAAATTGACTATGTCAATAGCGGGTCATCTGCAGACCGATGGTCAAACCGAGCGTGTGAATCACGTCGTTAAGGATGCCCTTTGCCGCGTCTGCGCTAAGATGCCGAGGCGCTGGAGTGCCATGCTGTCGCTTGTGGAGTTCGCTCTGAACAATGCGGTGCATTCGTCTACCAGCTACACGCCGTTCTACGTGAACGGTCTTTACATCCTCGCGTCCCGCTGATGCCGCCATCTCATGGCTTAGGACTTGGTGGGGAACGATTAGCTGAGCGGCTAACTGATGTCATGTGCCTTAAATAAGTTGATGACGTCCTGTCTACCGGACTGAGTGTCTTACGTCACGTTTGCGATGCGATAGCTGCAAGCCAAGACATGCAGAAAGAATATGCAGACGGAAGAAGCAGAGGAAATGTTTAAACCTTGAAGGCCGGAGACCTAATTTTATCAAATACTAAAAACCTTCCAACACGTGCAGTTTCTGTCGTCTTCATGACGAAGCTCCGCCCACGGTTTATCGGACCTTTTAAGATCGTGGCCAAGCGGAGCCTTGCGTATACGCTAAACATTCCTAGAAGGATGCGCACCTACCCGGTAATTTATGTGGGCTTGCTGAAGCCGTACCGAGGTTCGACCGCAGAATTATTGGCGCCGGAGCGGCGCCCACAGGCGCTCGACCACCCAAAAGCTGAACCAGCAACTAATTTTGAGCACGAAGCGCAACGATTTCCGTTTCCAACGGCGCCAGGTGCTCCACCGTCGCATGAAGCGACACATTCGTCTGCTCGACGGCTAGAAGCTGCTCCGACAGAGCGCGATAGTCCTCAACAAGAGGCAGTCAATGCACAAAGTGCTCCAAGCTCTCGAGGTCTTCTCCCGCACAGCGGTACGCGACCTAGGCAAGATGCTCAGCGAAGACCGATGGCGACGGAGTTTGTTCTCAACAGCTCGTTGAGTATTGTGAGTTACCGGACGGCAATCGACCAAGTCGTCATCGTCCGCCGCCGACTCTTCCCAAAGAGAGCGGTGGCGTCTACTATCACGTGGAAAGCCCTATGGGTTGACGTCGTCGACAGGATCAGACCCAGTATCTTTTGAAGTGGCGAGGATACCCAGACTCCGAGAACTCGTGAGAGTTTGAGGTGCAACTTTGGCAAGACTATCAAGACGTCGTGGACGCTTATAGGGGGCGAAGAGCCGTGAGCTGAGCTTTATTACAGATTTGTTTGTGGTATAAAGAAAATATATCCTGAGATGCTGTGGTCGTAGACTCGCCTGTGTGAGAAACCACAGAGCTCGAGGGGGTGTAATAGATTAATCCATCCGTTGCAGGGCGATAAAACGTAGGAAGTCGGTGTTACGCCTCGGCAAACAAGAGATATGGCTAGTAACTCCTTGAAGCTTGAATACTGAAGAATCTTGGGTGCTAGGGCAAATGCTATCCCTGCCTTCAAGGTTTTCAGGTTACCTTGCTCAAACATTGCGGCTCCCTGTAATCACCGTAAGGGTATGTACAAGGGGCGAAGTGCGCATATCAATGCAACTCTGGTTATGATTTACACGCTAGAATGGAGGTCGACAGCGTTCGTCCTAATCTATGGCATCTTGGTTGAACACCGAAGCGCATTGATCGATGACGGCTCCGGGATGATTGCCCAATTGGTGTTGCATTTTATGAACAGAAGCAGCATGTCCTTCAGATATAGAGCGCCCGCAGTACAGGGTGTAGAGTTAAATGGAGTCTCTCCAACTCGGGTTGGTCATTCCACAGCGTATGCGACGATTGAGTCTTTGCGGGTTTGATGTTCCATCTTAAAATCAATATTTTTCATGTTATTGGAATTGACATTTGTACGAATTTTTAGGGATGGAATATTAATCCGCGCCTACTCATCAAAATCAGCTCGGAGTTCTAGCGGTAGTGCATACATAGAACATCCTTAGCTCTGACAAAGTATAGGACCGCAATGCAAGTAAAGTAATATAAGGCTAATCAAATGGCTAAATAAAAGGGGAAACTCTCCCAAGTGGATAATCATCTGTGAGCATACTTGGCGGCTATAGCGTGTGCCATCTATAAAGCGATTCGGTAAATACAGCACACTGCATAAAAAGGCTTACATCCTCCCTCTCAACAATCGTTCTCGTTTCCTGGTCTTAAAGAGCCTTGTACCAAGGGTAAGGTAAATCGAAAAAGTTTCTTGCTCACTTAATAATTGTCTGCAACTAAAGTTAACGCTAACAAATCACTGCAATATCTGGTATACGAGAATGTTTCAGAATCCTAATCCTTTAAGCCCCGGGAGACATCGGTTATAAATCGTTTATACCATACTTTTTTTGCAGCGGGGCTGCCGTAGCTCTTTGTTTAGAGGAAGCTTAGCTAAGGTCCACGAAGGCACTTTTAACTTCATGTAATTTCATCGACCTTTCGTTCTTTTAAAGAACCATTACAAGTGTAGCGGATCGCAATCCGCTACTTCTAAGTACTAAAGCCTTACCAAGGCAAACGAACACATCTGTTCAAAAATAAAACTGTATTTAATAGTTTCAGACCGCTAATATCTGAGATCCTAGGGATTCCTAATTAATATTGTAATATCTACTTGATATAGCAAAACCTGATCAATATAGTAATATGGTGGCCTCTTATTACGGTGTAGCTACACCACTGTGTCTTCTACCATGTTATATACAGATATAATGTCACACTGGTAAATAATGTAAAACAGTTATGAGTTTTCGCGGCATCTTGGCTATTTTTCAATAATACGATCTTTAAGTATCACATCATTTCCCGTAATCGGAATAGGACACGGTTTTCCATATTTGTGCAGCGAAAAGGCTGAGAGCAGTGAACGCTCTCTGCTTGGCAAACAGCTAGACACTGTATTGCCGTTCGAGGGTGGAGGCACTTGGATAGTCCCCGGAACCGCTCTCATCGAAATCTATCTCGGCATCATCACCGATAACTCTATTAACCGCATCGGGCGCGAAGACCGCGTTTTTGGAGGTGCTATTTGTTTTGGTGCACGAAAGCGGGCTCACAGCATGTGTGTTCGAATAAACAGACCTAGTTAGGCGCACAGAGTGGAGTTGAACTTTAGGCGCAGTAGTTCGAGATAAAATCATCTTCGGGCAGTGTGAACCTTAGTGTGACTTCTCAATTTGCCGGCTACTACGCAAGTCAAATCCATAGAAGTACTCCCCGACCCCCCAGCCCTCCACTCCAGTGGCTACTCCCCTTTTCTGAAGATGAAATATCCAGCTGTTTCCGCCTCTCCATCCCCCGCCGACCAGCCCCCTCGCGCTGTGATTGGCTTGACTCCTGGGTCCGCACCCAGTTTCCAGTCGGGTACCACGGTCGGCCCATCTTGCTCGGATCCCTACGCCGGCTCGGACCTCCAACTGGCTCTCTGCCAGCCACTCATCATACCATGCTGTCGTCCCCTTCTCTTCTCCCGTTGCCTCCTCCGTCTACGTTTCCAGCGCTGACGGCTGTTGTGCCTGCTGATGCGGTCGACCCCGACGACGAGATAATAGACGCGACTCTAAACACTGCCAACTCGCCTCCTAACGCTGCTGCTTTGGACGACGAGTCGGTGGATCTC